GCACAGGGCTTGTATACCAGTTGTCTGTGAACAGTGTATGACCCTTGCCAAGGTATGGCTCCATCATCTTGCGAACACCATCACTAGAAATGCCCAACATGCGCCTTGTATCGTCGAGTGTATTTTTCCCTGTGTAGATAATGACATCCAACACAATACCAGTCTCACAGTCACACATAACAAAAAGTTTTATACCAAAGCGATTGTGTTTGCTTGGTATACAGTGGACCCCCAGTTCGCAAAGCAATCGGTATCCGATAAATCCGGTATCTGAAGCATTATATCGCAAAAAATTTGCCTCGGTTCCCATTACAAAACCCGGTATGCGATACGATTCGTACGAGACATGTCCAGTGTTTACAAGCCAGCCATTGTGCGCGCATCTAAGGATACATTCGGTACATTCTATATTATTCATATTATCACTGTTTTTGGTGCTTGTTTCTGCAAAATAAGTCACCATGGGCCCCAAGAAAGCTTCTAGTGCCAACCCATTGAGACCAAGGGTGCTAATTACTATTGAAATTAAGGAAATGTGTGCAGAGTGGCTTCAAGTGCAAACCTTTTTTGATGAAAATCACCCTGACACAGCTACTGCAAGCCGTGTTGGCAACTTGCACAATGACACTGTTGTGAACCACTTTACGAACGTCATAAAGGAACGAGAGGTACAGGCCTCTATGGACAGATATGTTGTGCAACACAAGTCCAGTGACTCTCAACCTGGTCCTAGTGGCATTAAAAGAAGAAGGGACGTAACCCCGGAAAAGGACTTGCTACCTCAAGTCCTAATGGAGGGGGATTCCCCTTCTAAATGCTAACACCATCCACACTCTCCCCTCCTCCCATCCCATCAATCATCACCAGATCTTCATTAAAGGTAAGTGTCAATTATTCTATTGTGAGTATTCTATTGTTATTATTGTTATTGTAATTATTATATTGCATTAAACTTAATATATCATGTGGTAAAAGTTTTTTTTCATACCTTTGGGTGTCTTGCACGGATTAATTTGATTTCCATTATTTCTTATGGGGAATATTGATTCGCTTTCTGATAATTTTGGTTTACGATGAGCTCTCAGGAACAGATTAATATTGTGAACCGGGAGTCCACTATTATTTGAATGACAGTTGTCCCTTGAACAGTATCAAGGACTCATCAACAACAACGTTCTTGAATGGATAAAAGTAGGCACTGAATTTGTGCTTCAGATACATAAACAATTCCCGGATTTTGTATAGGAGGTCATTTCGGTTTGGCATGTTCCTGTCTGCGAAGTGCAACATTCGTAGCAACAGAGTGAATCTGTTGCAGGGAAGTAGGTCACGGAAGACTGGAGTACAGATGAAGTGGTCTGTGGACCAGTAGTTTGCTATATTGTTCTTATATGTGTGTGGCATAAGCATGATAGTCCCAAGGAATAAATACATTTCAGCCACAGTCGTATCTTTCCACCTGCGCAAACGTGACGATTCTGAAACATCTGTGTGGTCCATTGTTACTGGTGGTACATGTTGGTCTGGGTAACAATCAGGTTCATTATTGGCTCATCAAAGTATAGTTAAAAATAGACTAAATCTGTAGACACATTTGTGATGGGACAGTGTGGCATGATGCTACTTCCACTGGCATCAAAATTGAAAAGATGTGGCATGAATGGTGTACTGTCTGTCCAGTTCCATTTGCGATCAGATGGTGCAGGGTGGACCTGTGGCATAGGGCATGGGGGAGCAGGAGGGGGGACAGGAGTGGAGGCAGCACATGGTTGAGAGGGTGCTGGGTGGTCCTTTGTCTGCCCACCCACCATGCCATGAGGTCCAGGCACCATGCCACCTTCCTCTTCCTCCATCCCAGCATATTCTCCTTCATGATCACTATCACCGTCAGTGGCTGGGGTTTTGGATCATGACCTCCCACGAATCTTGCCACCAACTACATATGGCACACTGCCTGATCAGAGGTTATGATGCCTAAAAGTACGTTTCACTGGGGAAACATGATAATCACTTTCACTCGATGAATCGTCTGTAGGTATAAAATTGATTTCATCATTGTCACTTATATTACTTTCACTATCGTCAGCACCATAACGCTTTTAAAATGATAATTTCCTCTTGTGGAGTTGCCTCTGTGTAGTAACACAAGCAACCCCAGAGGTGCTGGGCTGAGGGTCTGTTGTGACCACACTGGTCACACTGGCCACCTCAGAAGTGCTGGACTGAGGGTCTGGTATGGCCACACTGTCCACACTGGCCATCCTAGAAGTGCTGGGCTGAGGGTCTGGTATGGCCACACTGTCCACACTGGCCACCCCAGAGGTGATGGGCTGAGGGTCATCTGGGTTCTCATCAATATTTTCACTAATTCCTTGATTAGTGGCCGTATCACTGTCAAATCCACTAAACTTGCATTCTGTTTCACTCTCCGAGAATAGTAGTGTGTTAATACGACGAGGTGTGAGTGAATCATGAGGGTTTGCCATGATGTTGACCCAAGATGGAGCTGAAAATAACTGGTCCTACCATGTGGTACCGCGGAATCACCGATTTTTTTCATATTGCAAAAGCATATTGAAAAGCAAAAAGGGATTATGAGACTAAGGTTGCAAGGGATTTAAAGATTAACCCTAAAGGATTCTTTCAGGTATACAGAAGTAAGATTAGGGACAAGATTGGCCCACTTAAGAGTAACTCTGGTCAGATCACTGACAGTGATAAGGATATGTGTGAAATTCTAAATACCTACTTCCTCTCAGTTTTCACCCAGGAAAATACTAGTGATATTCCTGAAATAATAGATTATGTAGAACAGGATGATAATAAACTATGTACAATTGCGGTAACTAGTGACATGGTCCTCAGACAAATAGAGAAACTAAAACCTAACAAATCCCCAGGCCCTAATGAACTGTTCGCAAGGGTGTTAAAGGAATGTAAAGAGGAACTTAGCATACCTTTGGCTAATCTTTTTAACATATCACTACAAACTGGCATAGTGCCTGATAAGTGGAAAAGGGCAAATGTAATACCTATTTACAAGGCAGGTGACAGGTCCTTGGCTTCGAACTATAGACCAATAAGCCTTACCTCCATAGTGGGAAAATTTATGGAATCAATAATTGCCGAAGCAATTCTTAGCCATCTTGACAGGCACAGATTGATTAATGAATCTCAACACGGTTTTACAAAGGGGCGTTCCTGTCTTACGAATTTACTAACTTATTTCACTAAGGTGTTTGAGGAGGTAGATCATGGTAATGAATATGATATTGTGTATATGGACTTCATTAAGGCTTTCGATAGAGTTCCACACCAGAGGCTATTGAGGAAACTTAAGGCACACGGAATAGGAGGAGAAATTTTTTCCTGGGTAGAGGCATGGCTGACAAATAGACAGCAGAGAGTTTACATAAATGGGGAGAAATCAGAATGGGGCACGTCACAAGCGGTGTTCCTCAGGGGTCAGTGTTGGGCCCGTTGTTGTTCACAATTTACATAAACGACATAGATGAGGGAATAAATAGCGACATAAGCAAATTTGCTGATGACACCAAAATAGGCCATCCAATTCATTCTAATGAGGACACTAGAGCACTCCAGGAGGATTTGAATAGACTGATGCAATGGTCGGAGAAGTGGCAGATGCAGTTTAATATTGACAAATGCAAAGTTCTAAATGTTGGACAGGTAAATAACCATGCCACATATAAACTAAATAATGTAGATCTTAATACTACTGATTGCAAAAAGGATTTAGGAGTTCTGGTTAGCAGTAATTTAAAACCAAGACAACAGTGCATTAGTGTTCGCAATAAAGCTAACAGAATTCTTGGCTTCTTATCTAGAAGTATAAATAACAGAAGTTCTCAGGTTGTTCTTCAACTCTATATATCCTTGGTTAGGCCTCATTTAGACTATGCTGCTCAGTTCTGGTCACCGTATTACAGAATGGATATAAATGCTCTGGAAAACGTACAGAAGAGGATGACAAAGATGATCCCATGTATCAGAAATCTTCCCTATGAGGATAGACTGAGGGCCCTAAATCTGCACTCTCTCGAAAGGCGTAGAATTAGGGGGGATATGATCGAGATGTATATATGGAAAACAGGAATAATTAAAGGGGATGTAAATAGCGTGCTGAAAATTTCCAGCCAAGACAGGACTCGCAGCATTGGTTTCAAGTTGGAAAAATTCAGATTCAGAAAGGATATAGGAAAGCACTGGTTTGGTAATAGAGTTGTGGATGAGTGGAACAAACTCCCGAATACAGTTATTGAGGCTAAAACGTGTAGTTTTAAAAATAGGTTAGATAAATACATGAGTGGGTGTGAGTTGGACCTGACTAGCTTGTGCTGCTGGGTCTGGTGCAGTGCTCCATCCTTGAGTGGAGATGGTCAGACTGGGTGAGTCATTGGGCTAATCCGGGAGGGGGGGGGGTTCATTGGTCTAATCCGGGGGGGGGGGACATGGACCTGCTCCGCATGGGTCAGTAGGCCTGTTTCAGTGTTCCTTCTTTCTTATGTTCTTAAGTTCTTATATTGTGTACACTGAGTGCGCAGACCCATTCTCTCATGTCTAAGCGACTCAGGCCTATCATGCCAAATTTGAAAGAATGAAAAATAAAACGTTGATATACGTTCAGAGCGCTGCGCACATGCACGTATATCTACGTGTGGACAGTTTAAAGGTTAAAGAATAAAAAGGGACAATATTGTGACTGGAACAGTACTCAAATAACTGAAATATTGTCATATGTTTCATTCTCCTTTTTGTTGGTTATTTGTGTATAAACCCATTACTTGTATGTCTTTTGATTGAATAAGGCTGATTTAAATCTCAAGTAATTATTAAATGATATTTTATGACTTTGTTGTTACTAATTAGGTCTATAAGATTGTCACCAAAGTAGGCTATTTTGATATGAGGTGATCTATATACAGTTCCTCATGCTAGAAAAAATAAACAGCTAATATTAAGTTTTAAGTTTTGTTTAGATGTTGCAGATACAGCATCAGTGTCATCACATAGTGGTCAAGTGTTGAAAAGCAGAGAAGAAGAATTTAAAGGTCTCATACAAGCATTGGGCCAGGAGCCAACATTCTCCATCTTACAGTTCAGCCAAGTTATTGAAACAGTCAGGCACTGTGTATCTGAGGTGAGTTAACAAAGATTTTATTACTTAATTGAGACCTTTTTACTGTCGTATCTGCATGCCTCTGTAAAGACAGTGATAGTGTGAATGATAGTGACAGTGTTTCTTTTTTTTTTTTTTTTTTTTTTTTTTTTTTTGCACCCTGCCTCAGTAGGAGGTGGCAAGTGTGTTAAAAAAAAAAAGAGAGACCTTTTATGTTAATTAGTGAATGGCTGTTACAAAATGTTGAGAATGTAATGCTGTGGGTGAGCTTCAGACTGCAAGACATTTGTAATAAATAAGCCTGTTTAATGTTTCTTAGTTTTTTATTTGAATTTGGGTAAAACTCATTATCTGAGTAAAATTTAACCATTTATTTCTTTATGTAAGTATTTTCCATAGATCAGTTATTTATAGTTCTTCTTGCTTTTATCTTAAGGATTCAACAGTGAAAAAAAAGGCAAAAGTGCTGAGTAAGCTTTTATTATGATAGTGTTTTGTTGAATGTAGAGCAAAAGATTGTCACAGTAAAAGTTGTTCTATACCTGTCGGAGGTGTGCTTTTATATCCTGATTCACATTCTCAAGTCTATCTGTTTAAAGTCAGCTATTTTGTATTTTTAAGCAAGGCTTCCAAGAACTATTGGCAAGAGATAATGTAAGTATATATAAGTCCTCCAACATACACACAAGTTGTATTTCTTATGTTTGAACAAAAGCAATAGCACAAATGATAGTTTATTTTTTTAGCACATTGACCATCTTCCACCAAGGCAGGGTGACCCAAAAAAGAAGAAATGAAAGTTTTTCTTCTTTATACATTTAGTAATTTATACAGAAGAAAGGATCACTTGCCCCTTGCTCTTGGCATTTTAATTGCCTCTTACAACACACATGGCTTATGGAGGAAGGTTTCTCCACTTCCTCATGGAGACAAATGATAGTCTTTTTTTTTTTTTTTTGTCAACATGCCAGCCATCTCCCACTGAAGCAAGGTAACCCAAAAAAGAAACAAACACTTTCACCATCATTCACATATAATCACTTGCAGAAGTGCCCAGATATGACATTTTAGGTGCCACTCCAAACAGCCAATATAAATGATAGCTATGTTTCATTATACACTGATACCTCTCATATATGAACTGTATGGGCTAAGACTGGTTCGGAAACATGGAGTTTCTGGATATGTGAGGGAGAAAAAATGCACATCCGTACCATCATATTGCCATCCATACCCCATCATATAGCCGTTGGTGATGGCATTGTATGTTTAAAAAACGAGTCCAACGTTGTCTGGCAGTGGGACCAGACACACTTGGCTCAAATAACAACCTCCTGGATTTCACAGACCACAGGACCATAACTTCAAATGGACTGTGGACAGTGGATGTTCCAAATACTCCAAAAGTGTTTCAATGCCTGCCCTTGCTGCTGAAATTTTTGGTTTTGGAGGCATTGGGTTGTTGTTTTCATCATCGCTTTTGGAATTTTCTGGGTTCAACACTGATTCTGCAATCTCTGCATCTTTCAAAGATCACACACCAGGGTCGTCTTCATCACACACTAGCCAGTCCTGCATGTCGGTGCCACGAACCATCATACCACTACCGTGTTGTTGTAGGTACCACTTCATCACGCACTGATCAAATTCCAAGCTTTTTGGCTTTGCTATCACTTTTTTTCGGCACTTTTTCCAGTTTTTGAGGTGGCAGAAAACTCACTTGTATAGGCCATGACCTTATTACGAGCCTTCTTGATATCACAGAGGGTGACAAAGAGTGTAGCTCCTAGTGGCCAACCAGTACACTAAAGTGCATGCCAAGTTTGATTCAGCCTTATGTCATATCCAAACAGCTGTTCATATGTTTGGGTAATAATTTTAGAATTTTGCCCTTTCCCAGGGCTTGGTCATATGTTGGCGAAGTTCAGATAATAGCAGGCAGGATATGCGAGGTATCACTGTACGTATGTTTGTGCTGCAGATTGGTTTTTGTGAAAGTATAATTGGTTCATAAATGCAGATGTTTGCAACTTGGGATGTTTGTAAATTGTAAAAACCTCAAATGTATTAGTGTTGTGTTGGACTCATTATACCAAGGTTGGGCACACTGCACAGCTAAGCTTGGGGGGAAGTGAGAACTTATTATTTTAAATTCTTCTAATTAATTACTGTTTCTTTGAAATACTTCATATTATAAATAATTCTAGTTTATTGTTATTCTAAATAACCTACCACAATTAAAATAGTGTAAAATAGAATAGAGTTGATTAATTCGAATTTAATTTTAATATTTTTAACAAACCGGCTGTCTCCCACCAAGATAGCACCCAAAAAAATAATCTATTTGGTGAAGACCAAGGCTACAAGTATTATACAACTATGCAAATATGCATTTTGACAGTGGACATGAGGATGCTGTTAGTTAACCATGGGTGATTTACTCTCTGTTTTGACCTGTTTGTTTTTTGAAGAACTAAAGTTATTGTAGAGACTCTGAATGTTTTATTGGACACGGGAGTTAATGTTTTGCTTGTTGTTACATTTTCTCTTCCAGTCAGCGTTACTGATTGTTATGGTAAAGTCATTCACTGATGCATCATCACTGAACCTGAGAAGTTATTACATTTGTCCAGATGTAGTCAATTTGCTGATGACACCAAAATAGGCCGTCCAATTCATTCTAATGAGGACACTAGAGCACTCCAGGATGATTTGAATAGACTGATGCAATGGTCGGAGAAGTGGCAGATGCAGTTTAATATTGACAAATGCAAAGTTCTAAATGTTGGACAGTTAAATAACCATGCCACATATAAACTAAATTATGTAGATCTTAATACTACTGATTGCAAAAAGGATTTAGGAGTTCTGGTTAGCAGTAATCTAAAACCAAGACAACAGTGCATTAGTGTTTGCAATAAAGCTAACAGAATTCTTGGCTTCATATCTAGAAGTATAAATAATAGAAGTCCTTAGGTTGTTCTTCAACTCTATATATCCTTGGTTAGGCCTCATTTAGACTATGCTGCTCAGTTCTGGTCACCGTATTACAGAATGGATATAAATGCTCTGGAAAACTTACAGAGGAGGATGACAAAGATGATCCCATGTATCAGAAATCTTCCCTATGAGGACAGACTGAGGGCCCTGAATCTGCACTCTCTAGAAAGGCGTAGAATTAGGGGGGATATGATCGAGGTGTATACAGTGGACCCCCGCATACCGTTGGCCTTACATAACGTTAAATCCGCATACCGATACATTTTATCGCTAAGATTTTGCCTCGCATACCGCTAAAAAACCCGCTCAACGCTGTTCGTCCGAGACGCGTCTAATGTGCGGCCTGAGCCAGCCTCACATGTTCCACCGGTGGCATTGTTTATCAGCCAGCCTCCGCGGTAACATCCAAGCATACAATCGGAACATTTCGTATTATTACAGTGTTTTTGGTGATTTTATCTGCAAAATAAGTGACCATGGGCCCTACGGCAATAAGGGTGAGAATTACTATAGAGATGAAGAAAGAGATCATTGATAAGTATGAAAGTGGAGTGCGTGTCTCCGAGCTGGCCAGGTTGTATAATAAACCCCAATCAACCATCACTACTATTGTGGGCAACAAAACGGCAATCAAGGAAGCTGTTCTTGCCAAAGGTTCAACTGTGTTTTCGAAACAGAGATCGCAAGTGATGGAAGATGTTGAGAGACTCTTATTTGTATGGATAAATGAAAAACAAATAGCAAGAGATAGCATCTCTCAAGTGATCATAAGTGAAAAGGCTAGGAAGTTGCATCAGGATTTAATTAAAAAAATGCCTGCAACTAGTGATGATGTGAGTGAATCTAAGACCAGCAAAGGTTGGTTTGAGAGATTTAAGAAGCGTAGTGGCATACATTGTGTGATAAGGCATGGTGAGGCTGCCAGTTCGGACCACAAAGCAGCTGAAAAATATGTGCAGGAATTCAAGGAGTACATAGACAGTGAAGGACTGAAACCTGAACAAGTGTTTAATTGTGATGAAACAGGCCTGTTTTGGAAGAAAATGCCAAGCAGGACCTACATTACTCAGGAGGAAAAGGCACTCCCAGGACATAAGCCTATGAAAGACAGGCTTACTCTGTTGATGTGTTCCAATGCTAGTGGTGATTGCAAAGTGAAGCCTTTATTAGTGTATCACTCAGAAACTCCCAGAGCATTCAGGCAAAAGAATGTCCTTAAGGCTAATTTGTGTGTGCTGTGGAGGGCAAACAGTAAGGCATGGGTCACTAGGGAATTTTTCTATGACTGGTTACACCATGCATTTGCCCCAATGTGAAAGATTACCTAACTGAAAAGAAATTAGACCTTAGGTGCCTCCTGGTGTTAGACAATTCCCCTGGTCATCCTACAGACGTGGCAGAGCGACTTTATGGGGACATGAGGTTCATTAAGGTGAAGTTTTTGCCTCCTAATACCACTCCTCTCCTGCAGCCCATGGACCAGCAGATTATTGCAAACTTCGAAAAACTGTACACAAATGCTCTGTTTGAAAGGTGCTTTGTAGTGACCTCAGAAACTCAACTGACTCTAAGAGAATTTTGGAGAGAGCACTTCAATATCCTCAGTTGTGTAAACCTTATAGGTAAGGCTTGGGAGGGAGTGACTAAGAGGACCTTGAACTCTGCTTGGAAGAAACTGTGGCCAGAATGTGTAGACCAAAGGGATTTTGAAGGGTTTCAGGCTAACCCTGAGAGGAGAACGCCAGTTGAGGAATCCATTGTGGCATTGGGAAAGTCCTTGGGGTTGGAGGTTAGTGGGGATGATGTGGAAGAGTTGGTGGAGGAGGACAATGAAGAACTAACCACTGATGAGCTGCTAGATCAACTTCAACAGCAAGAGGCCAGACCTGAGGAAACTGGTTTGGAGGAGGGGAGAGAGAAATTGAAGAAGTTGCCTAGTACAAAGATTAAGGAAATCTGTGCAATGTGGCTGAAAGTGCAAACCTTTATGGATGAAAATCACCCTCACACAGCTATTGCAA